ACGCCCCCTTGGCCGCCATCAGGGCGCTGGCGCAGACGGACTGATAGCTGAACGCCTCCAGCGGCCCCGCGCCCAGTTCGGCCTGAACGGCGCTGGCGTGGCCGGGCACCAGATAGTCGCCCTGCGTCGCCGCCGCCCCCAGATGCTGCAAATCGCCGAGGCTCAAGCCCGCCCCATCCAGCGCCGCCCGCACCGCCTCAGCGCACATGGAGGCGTTGGAGTGCAGCGGCTCCCCGTCAATGTTCAGGGCGTAATGCCGCCCCTCGATCCCGTTCCAGCGCAGGGCGCGCCGCCCGACGGCGGAGGCCCGCCCGCCGATGCGGCCGATGAAGTCCTCCATCCGATCATTGCCGATCCGCTCGCCGGGCAGAACGGCGCCGGTCCCGGTGATGAAGACGTCGCGAAGCTCACTCATGGAGGGCTTGAGGGGGAATGGACGGCTAGTTGTCATTAGTTTGGCTAAAGGAATGTGAGCGCCATGGCCTGCTACCAGTTGCCTGCTTGCCTAACCATAATCGCAATGAGTTTCCATCATTCTAACCACCACCAACCGCCAGCCGTTAATCACCAACCGCCAACGCTGCCAACGAGTTTAGAGACATTTTTTAAAGACACCTCTCCGGAAACTGTAGAGGCTCCGCGCGCTTGACACCAACTCCCGCCCTCCCGCCCTCCAACCTTTCCGCCCTCCAGCCACCAGCGGAAACCTACACACCTGAAATTGGAAGTGGATGGTGCTTGGTCTTAACGACTGTACTGCCGTGCTGGACATGCTCTGCAACAACAAATGTACGGAAAACGGCGAAAAGAAAGCTACGGCAGTCAGCTGCGACATTAACAACGGCAGGACTGTTGCAGGACTGGACAACATTCACATTCGTGGGTCTGCGCCAACGCGTCTAGATGCCCCCCCGGGCGACACGCCATCGGATTCCCCCTCTCGCCTCGCCTCCCCCGCCCGGGCGTTCGAATGGGAATTCAACCCGGTCCAACGGATAGAAGTACGGAAATAATTCCCTTCCCCTTCATGTACGACACACTCGCGGAATGTGGAAGGAGACAGGAACAGAAAAACAAGGGAAAAATTAGGAAAAAAGGAGAAAAAAGGAGAAAAGGAGAAACTTAAAAGGAACATGAAGAAACAGGGACTCAGCTTTCGCCGAAGCGACACTCACCCTTGCGATGTCGACCGCCGCCAAACGTACGACGCCTCGAGGCGGCACGCGTCCCGCCGCCTCCTCGCTAAGCCCCATCACCATCTCCCACAACACCGCCCACTCCTCAGCCAGGCCCTCCGCCGCCGACATGCGATCCACCTCCTCAGCCAACTCGACGGTGGCGGCGGCGCCAGCGGCAACGCCGCCGCCGCCGAAGCTTAACCGCGCCGGCGCCGGCGCTGCGCCGGGATCTGCGCTGGTCGTACCTGTCTCGGTGCTGCCGTCATGGTCGACGCCAGAGCCACCGCCGGGGGGCTGTATCGTCAGCCGTACGCGGCGGAAGCTGGTGCCAGCTGTGGCGGCGGCGGCGTTG